ACTGTCACCACACCACTCTCCCTCTCAAGAGAAAGTATTTTACAGTAACTAAAGCAACAAATCCCTCTTTTAAATACATCCCTTAACCTTCTTTAAATTTATTACACTTTAATTAAAGTCCCAGAACTTTGTTTAGATCAGTTGAAAACCTCAGGTTGGCAGCCAGAATATCTAATTTATAAGAATTTGGACGTCTTGGATTCCCATATTTGGAGGATGTTACTTTAACTTATTTATTTTTCCAATTAAAAAGTTCTCACTGCTCATGCATTTTTTATTCCCTAATGCGCTGTTCTAACATAAAAGAAGCAGACAACATGTTTTTTCAGTTGGAGACTACTTCCAAGCCTGCTCCAGTTTTATAATCTATTCTCTTATACTCTTACCAACCCCCTCCATCAAACAGCTAAGAGTATCCATCAAAAGCACAGGCTGTATTCACAGCAAAATGCACTCCAGCACAGATTTTCACTGGAAGAACACTAATTTTTTCATCAAAACACCTTTCTCTCCCTTCTATGTCCACAGAGTTCCAGTAAAGGAAGATGGATACTGTCTGAATAGGTGAGTACCTTTGTAGCAATATGGCTGATGATAAATTAAAAATAAAAAAAAAAAAAATTTAAAAAAAAAACACCTTTCAGGCTTACCTCTCCAGACTAATCAGCTACACTGAGAACAACTTGGAATTTCTATTTTGCAAACAGATTTTCAGTAAATACATTTGAAATTTACATTTGAAATTTACATTTCAGTAAATACATTTTGATACAGTACCTGCCACTTCCTAAATTGCAGGCTCCATGCTATTCCCTCACTCTTCTCAACAACATTAAATGCAACATATTTCTGTGCTGTTACTATCATAGGGGACAAGCATCCCAGTGGACAGTCAGGTGCCATGGGAAACAATACAAACTCAACAGCTAAAACTAATTCCCAGAGAAGATAAACATCAGATATTGTAGGACTTGACAGCCTCTTGGGGTTGCAAATCTCCCGACAGCACACGTATGATCAGAGGCCCAAGCTGGAAAGAAGCACGGCAGAGTTAATTTGATCACACATACATATACATAAATACCTATTAGTACTACTGGTTATTTAAGGACAATTATGCAGTTGCCCTAGCTGAATCTAAACATTCACCAGAAAATCCCTGACAATCCCTCCTAGAGCAGGGAGGCACAGATCCTACCAAAAGCAGGAAAGTTAATTTCCATGTCACTCTGAGCACAGGTTTTACTTGTGCATCAGTAGTACACTTACAATTAATGCTGTCTTTTCATTTTTCTAAGCCTTCAGAGCCTTACTAGAATGTCAAAAGCATGTTAGCTATGCACCCACGGCTCCTCATGCCAGTTTTCTGCGACACGTCCCTGGCCAGAGGTTACTGTCTAGCACAAAAGTTCTTCAAGTCAGAGAGGAGAGTCCAGTGATGTTCAACAGGTTTCCAGTCTGGACCTCAAGGTATCTCTTTTCTGTCCCATGAAGATGGGCTGAGAAATTTGCAGCTGTTCAGCCTTGGAAAAGCTCAGATGACCTTCTAGCACCTTCCAGTACCTAAAGGGGCCAGAAGAAAACTGGGGAGGGACTTTGGACAAGGAAACAAAGAGATAGGACAAGGGGAAATGGCTTCAAATCAAAGTGGGTGGGGTGAGTTTAGATTAGATAAATAGGAAGAAATTCTTCACTGTGAGGCCCTGGCACAGGTTGCCCAGAGAACCTGTGGCTGCCCCATCCCTGGAAGTGTCCAGGCCAGGTAGGACAGGACTTGGAGCAACCTGGGATAGGTATCCCTGGAAGGCATCCCTGCCCACGGTAGGAGATTGGTACAAGATCATCTTTAAAGGTCCTTCCAACCCAAACCATTCTATGATTCTTGAGTTAGCAGCTCTAAACATCAAACTCAGCTACAATTCCCACACTTGTTCCTGAAGGAGCTCTAAAAGGAGGCAGTAAGATGCAGCAGGAGCTGATTTCAAAAGGACTTGTATTTGGGCAAATAAAACTCCTTTGATACATAGGCTTCCCCCTCCATATGACATCTCATTAGAACAGAGACAAGTGCACTGTTTTAAAGGTGATGCTTTAAAGCACTACAGGTCTTTGCTATTTCCCAAGTACTTTTCCTGAGCCTACCCAGGTCTGAAAAACAAAGCTGACTTTGAATTGAATCCAAAAGATAATCAAGTACAAATGTCAAAGCAATTTTGCAAATCAGAGTAATGTGGGTGATAGGGCTGGGAGGAGAAAAAGTAAATTTGACTATCTGTTTACAAATTAAAAAGCTTCTTCTCCAATGCTTTCTGATCAACTGCAGCTCTTGGAGCCAGAGTATCACAGTATGAAGCCTGTAGCAAAATTAGTTTGTGACTGGATATTTTTCCCAATGCAAACACTTGCAATGCACTCTCAGGTACAGATTAATTTTACTAACACTGCAATCACAAATGGTTTGCTCACAATAGCCTTCCAAATATATAACACATTACCACAGTCCTAAACAACAGCCTTCCAAATATATAACACATTACCACAGTCCTAAACAAAAGAAATAATGCATTTATGCAAATTCAGGTGTGTCTATAAGGAAGCCATGTTGCCAGCCCCTAAAGAAATACAGTAGAAATTCAAGGCATTAATTTTGGAAGTCAATTTTTTTCTTTTCCCTTTTTGTTTTGCTGGCAAACACAGCAAACAAAAAGCTGAGAACTTTGACTAGATAGGTACACAGGAAGCTAAATTCTTGTTCTGATGACACCAAATCTCTGCAGGAGGTGGGACAGGTGAATATACTGACTGCACTCATATCCTGTTTCCTCTTGTTCATTCAAATCTGCAGAAGCATCACTTCTCATTGGGCATCCTGAACTCTGCCAAGAGCCAGACACCACACCAGCCAAAAATATTGACATTTACCCAAATCTTCACATGGGACTCTGCTCACACATTCAGCTGCAGCTTCCCTAAAACTAACATGAAGAAGGCTTAGGGTTTTCAGTAGTGTTCAGAAGTACCACTCATTGACTTGCTCTTCATTTTCAAAGCTTCAACATTTATTGCACTGTCATAAGAAAATGCCATGATAAACAAGATGTTGACTCCTTTCCTGAGTGCAAAGATATAAAGGGTTTTAAGATTTAATCAAAGTAACACCAGCATTCACAAAATTCTCTAATTAACTGAACAGTGATGCTACAGCTGACTCAGGAACTTAGACTTCCTGGGATTTTTTTCCCCATCTCATTTAAACTTCTACTATGATCTGTCCTCAAGTCATGCTTTCAGAAGTATTTCCATTACTCTTCCACAGGAGTTGTCATAAAACCCCACAATACACGGCCAAATACAGACATCTCGGTACAGACTTATGCTGGAAGCAACCTTAGGATGCACCACCTGAAGGGACACGGTTAGATGGATCAGCCCTGTTTAGGGCTACCTGACAGAGATGGCTGGACATATCTGTCACCTCAGATGACAGTACAGCTCATTCCATAATTGTATTTATCTATTTCTGCTTGTTACTGTAAAGAAAATCAGGTCACAACCATGTGCAGTTGTGACTCTGTGCAGTTCTCCTCTCCCTGGGAAGAATTCTACGCCAGTCATTTTATGTTGTTTTCATTTTAAATTCTGTACAAGAAAGCAGCCAGCTAAACAATCTGCTAAAAAGTGTCTTCCCAAAACACACTTGCTGTTCATAAAAATAAAAAAAAATCAAAATAGATAACTAAGAGCCTGTTAACCCAAAACCCAGTATGTCAATAAACAAAGAAAAAAGCATTCTGTTGAAAGCAAATAAATAGCATAACAAATAAATAATGGGAACATAAATAAATTAAATTACTGAAATGAAGAGAATCTTTGCAAACTGTAGATTTCATTCCCCAATGAACTTAAAATTACTCTCAGCATTTAATTGCTTCTAAGGTCCAAATAAGGTCCAATAAGCAACATTCCTTCAGATTAGATTTTTCAGTAGTTAATGGAGTTGCAGAAAATGGTTGAAATATTCCTCTCAAAACAGTACATCATAATTACTTGGGTCAAAATTCAAACTTTTTCAAATGTTCCTTTAACTCCTATAATACTCATCTAGCTTTATTCCGACTGTCTGAACAAAATGAAGACTTCCAAAAAAAATCTGCTATCATCACCCAACCCATTTAAGTGCCATGATCCCAAAATGCATATGCTTATCCTCTCACTGAATGTGAAGGATTTTTTTTCCATTCATTTCTGTGCAATAAGATACAAAAGTAATGGTTTGTTTTCCTCATTCATAAAGACTATTATGTAAGTCCCAATTTCAAGCTCTCTGAATTTCTTCCCCATCAGCTGCTAAGTCTGAAGTCTACAATACATTGTGAGATCAAGTCCCAAGGCAAGAGAGATTCTAGGTTTGCTGATTTTCATTCCCTGAAATCCTGGCAATACGCCATCTCACAGCCTTCACAACTTCTAATGGAAAAGACAGAATACCCTTCAGAAAACAAAAAACACTGGTTCCAGTCATGCAAAAAGAAGCTTCCAGGTTTCTCAGAAGTTTCCAAATGGGGCAGCACATGGAAAAATCAGTAAAACCTACATTGTCTGATTATGCAAAATAAAATTAAAGTGTCTTTGATGCATCTGTCTATTCTTCAGGTTCTCAGGCTTGCTGAGTGAAGCAGTTCACAACAGAACAGACTGCAAACCCATCCATCACACTTAAATGCAATCACTGGCAAACATAACTGCTCAGGTACTGTCTAAACTACAGAGATGCATTTAATACTCCCCCATCAGCAATCAACCTTTTCCACATTTGTTCATAATCACAATGAATTGTTCCATTTTAATACTTTGTTTTCCTTTTCTTATCCCACGGCAGTTTAGGGTGCTTCTTGAATGAGAGATTTATGCGGGGAAAAAAATTCTCCTTTTCCAATTTTATTCCTGTAACTAGAGATTATTTTTCGAGGAAATACCAATTACAGAACATATTTGCTTACCTGTTGCAGTCCACGTGGAGCAGAAGATGGGATGCACTAAGTGACACAGCAATCCTGTGCCACTGTCCATCTGCCAGGCGGTAGGGGAACACCTCTGTTCTCGTCTTCCCATTAAACCTGTAGTGATACCTGATCTCATCCCGCAGGCCACTGCTCTCCAGTTCAAAATAGCTGCATTGAAAACATGAAGAATCAGTTCCACTTTTGGATACGCTGCCTGAAAGAGACTGTCCCTTTCTTCATAACTGGTAAGACTTCTTTAAGCAAACACAATCTAAAGAGGTTACTCAGCATGGATTAGCTACTAATTAACTTTTTTTTAAAAGAAGCAGAGAGACAAGGCTATAGATTCAGAGCAGTACAAAACCAGCAATACTAATTACTGAAAACAGCTCAAAGTACCACTTGTTAACCAAGGAAACTGAAGTCCTCTTTTCACCCATAGAAAACTACAAGAAACCAAGCCTTATTCTTTTCACCAAAACATTTTGTATGACTGCAGGCTTTGTAAGAAATTGAAAAATAAAGAACAGTACATATATCACTACCACAAACAAATAAAAAGCCATTAAGGTAAGAAACCACTAGGTAATCGTTAAATTTGTATTTACTACTTGCAAACCCAGTTAAAAAACCACAACTGTTTATTTTTAGGACTCCCCTACATGCAATTGTGCTTAACTCATTTTCTGACTTTCATTGTTACTGCTGTGATTGTTCAGCTTTACAAGGAAAGGACAAAACCTCTTGGATTAGGTGTCTCCACATCTGGCACAAACCATCAGACAATCAAAACCTTCGTACAGCTGTCAGACTCACAGGAGAACTAATGAAGTGGGGTTATTAATTGGCTTCACAGGGGTGTGGGGGGAGCCAGTTCTTTCTCTGGGATGAATTTATCCCTTCCAGGGCACAATGACAGTATAAATAGTGAAGTCTTTTCTTGGGCCTCACCAAGTATTTGCATCATATCAAATCTTTTTCCTGCTAAAATGAAGCTGTGTATATAGAAACAGGTGAAGCAGGCCTCCCTTCATAGTAGAAATAGCTCTACAACGAAGTGAAGACATTAGATTGTCCGGATAGCCCTTTGCCCCACCCACCTCCAGAGTGTTTTGGTTTTCCCTGTTGACCAACACCAATTTAACATGGCATTTGAGAGATAGGAGCTGATTTGGTTAGGGTGGGAAAAATTACAGTAATGAAATCCACTTCCAAAGATGTAACATAAACCAATAAATACTGGAGTGCCAATTTTCATTTTCCCATAAGCCTTTCACACTGCTTGGCAGTGCACAGGCCCTAATAGCCTGTGTGCACAAGCATTACATGGGGGCTGTGCACTGCTTCAAGATTAGATCTTGCCAATGAAGCTGAGAGTTTCCAACATAACTGGAAAACAGTGTTTCTTGGGAGGAAACTTAGGTGATAAAACACTAGCTGGAAACATGTGCAAGACATCACAATGGGCTGGGAAGGGGAACACAAAGATGGTAAGTTTTCACCAAATGTGAAATTCAAGCCCTCCTCCATCCTGACAATGCCTTGTCATCATGAAAGTATTATTGGGTCACATGAATCAAAGACCTGAGCGACAAAGTGAAACACACAGGGAGGTAAAGGTAAAACCAATGCTGAATAAAAACACAGCAGGCATAGGTACAAACAAAATACATGCCGTACAGAGTGGAAAAAAAAAAAAAAGGCTGGTGTTGTGAAGGAACAGGTACAAGGAGAGCAGAGAAGGAGGGGTTTTCTAAATAATAGAGCAGAATGTTGATTAACTATAGCCAACACCCATTAAAATACTTAAATTACATTCACACGAAATCTGGAAAAGATTTATTTCGATGCTCAGTAACAATATAGTCAATATCCAGAAGATACTGCTACTGGTGTTCCCAAGCAAGAAAAGCACTACAGGAAAAGTACTGTCAGTGATGTCATACTTAAACATTTTGTAATTTCCATCTGCTGTCACAGCACAAAAGGAAGTGAGACAGAAGACTGGGAAAAAGTAAGTGAGGGAGAAGTACATAACATTCCCACACAAAGCATTTGTATGTATATACATATAGGTATATGGTTGATCACAGAGGCTTAAGAGCACAAAAACAAGACAATCTCCTGTTGCAAGAAGCAAATTGCTTCCTGAGTTCATTCTTTATAATCTCCAATAGCCACAGAGCTGATCACTCATCACACAATGATTTCTTCGTTAATGTAAAGGAAACAGTGCAGCCCTGGAAAGGTCAGTCAGATACTGCACTTAATCACATCTGTGCTCTATTATTTGTACAGTATAGGGAATTGCAAAGCTTTAGTGTCAATAGTTACCTCAGGACTGAGAACAGCTTGTTGCTTAGGAATAGAGCTTGTTGTCAACCTCCTGACTAATTTATATACTACAGAACAGATTACTTAAAATTTCATGCAAAAGCCTGTCCTAACAGTTTTATATAAGTGCACCTAATGCAGTAAGTGCCATGGGACTGTATTAAACACCATGTTTTGGCTCTTTAGTGGCAGGAAAAGGAGGGCGACAGCAGACAAATTCTGCACCTATTCTTCACCACCCTTCAACAAAAATGCAAATCACAAACAGTTGCACTCAGAGAGACATCAGTGAACACCAGTCAACATAATGCAGAAACTACCTGGGTTACCCCAACACACCTCTCTCTTGTATTTAAAAAACTAAAGGCAATGTAAACCAACACTCTTGTGTGGATTTTTTTTTTTTAAGATGCAGAAATTCACACTGAGACCTTGATTACCCAAACACTTCACTGCGTTCAGAAGTTGTCCTTTCTCTGCCAGAATACAAGTCACATGCAAACAGTTTCCTCTTTTCTTTCCTCCTTCCACTAGACTCTGGGGGAAAGAAGCCTCTTCCAAAGCAATGGCACAAAGGCCATTCACAGTGCACCTGCTCTGTTTCAGAGTTCTAATCTGCAAATTGGGGAATGGAAGACAAATGAGGGGAAAAACAAACTCAGGCAAGTAATCATCAACTGGTGAGAAATTAATTAGTAAACCCAGAGGAAATAAATGGAAATAAAAAGCAATTTTTTTTAAAATCACTATCTTATCTTCAACTTCAAATGCCATTGTACATTTTTTTATCCATGATAAAACAACAGGCAAAAATGAGGAGGGGGAAAATTCATAGAAGGTACCATAGAAGAGACAGGAAAATTGACGGATCTCTACCAGGTGTTTTGAAGGCACTTTCCAGTGTTTTGTCAGAAACTACATGAAAGCAGAGGATTGGAATGAATCTGTGTTCCTGAAAAGACTGCAACATCTGGGACCGTCTGAATATATGTATCACAATTCGGTGTGAACTTTCAATGCTGCCATGAAATCCATACCAAAAGCCCAAGAAAGATCCCTGAGTATCTTGACAATCTCTGATTCTGCATCACATCTGCATGCAGCCTGCAGCAGCCTGTCCTGCAGTTAGGGCCCTGCTACCCTCCTCCAGACCTTTTCTAGGGAAGAAAGGTGTGAGACAGTAATCTCTTGTCAACTCCTTATCACTGAGTGATGGTTTCTTGTTTTATTTGTTATTTCTCAGCAACAATTTATACTTTCATATATTTTAAATGAGGCGTGATCAGATGTTAACATATATTTTGACAGATGAAGTTCTTAGAACACATGTATTAAGAAAGCTTGATTTTTATGGAACAGCAATACAATTTGACCTTGGCCGAAATTCTCCCACTAGCAGAATTTCCCTGTTTGCTAGGCATGTAAATTACTGCTGGCTTCTTTCGTACAATTATAGAATTCAAATGCTCTTTATAGGTCTATCTGCAGTCTCTCATTCAACCTCCAATGTATAAGAGAAAAACATTGCTAAATTCAGGCTGATTTTATGCACATCAAAAAAAGTTGGGATATTTTAGGGTCATGCAATGTGCTTTCCAGAAGGACAGTATTATTCCACAATTGATTCAAGATATTTTACAATTCTGACAGTTTTTGCAACCCCTACATACCTCACACAAAAATATGTTTGGAGAGGATGAAGTTAGACACAGGTACATTTAATGACTTTTTCTTTCTTCCCCCTTTCTTTTAGTCACCACCATAGTGACTGAACCATACATTTGACTGCTCATTTCACTTCTGGATTAGGAGAGAAAGGTTCCTAAAAGTATACTTGCACTTGGAAACACCTGCTGTGGATGCAATGACCAAAAAATATTGGAAAAGCCACTATCAACATTAAATAAGAACATGTATGACACCTGAAACAGAAAAGGCAAAGTATTTCTATAAGGTGAGTTGGCATTAAAGAAACACATTCACCTTTTCATCATTTCAACCCACTGAGGAGCTCTTATCCTGTGGCAAACACCACCACGTTTCATTCAAAGATTTTACTGCTGTTAGATTATGCAAGTGGCCAAAGGAAGGACAGACCACAGCCTATGGATCCCAAGACAGGGCCCCAACAAGAACTATGGGATTGGTGTCCTCCAGAACATCCTTAGGGTACATAGCACTTTATTTCCTGAACTTCAGCAACCCAATACCTATCACAAAGCACTAAAATATCCCACAATGAAGACAGCAGCATAATTGGGTAAGCAGAATTGGGTAAGCAGATTAAATGCTCCTGTAAGAGATCTAGGAACTAATGCAGAACTACTTTTTACATTCAACTCTGGCAACCTTCCTCCTTATCACATTCAAAGATAAATAAAGCAGAGTTATTCTGACTTTACAACTTCCATCATCCTTGATCAAGTGCCAAATGAAGCCCCACAGCCTCTTTCAGGGAACAGCACCAGTGCTTATAGCAGATGCTCTTACAGCTACTGAACAGATGTCCCAGGGCAAAGCAGCAGGCACAGATGGCATCCCTGCAAATATGTACAAACTTGGGGTTGCCATCTAGTCAAAACACTGTGCATCTGCTTAACATCGTATGGGAGAAGGTCACAAAACCACAGGAGTTCAAGGATGGAAGCCCCATCCACCTTGCACATGTGGCAGCAACACTGCAAAAGTCAGGCCCCCCAAATGCTGGGGGGAAAAGATCACTGCCATAAAAATCAGACTGTTACTTCTGGAAAATATCTGTGAGTCTGGCCAAGACATAATTAGGTTTTTTTTTCAATAACAATGCAAATTCAGGAAAAGTTCAGCGATCAGTC